CTAAGGGCAGTGCACAAATGAAAGTGTTTGGAACCATTTAAGACAATTTAAAACAAAGCGAATAATTTGAAGAGATTTAGTAACGTATTCAACAGCCGAACAAGTTAAAGCTGGTTTGGAAGGTTTAAGAAGTTTAAAACACAGCTGGGAGCTCTCTGTGCATATAAGAAGCATTGTGCACGTGAATAAAAATATTTCAAATATGGTTTTAAAAACAAGGATTTGCAGGAAAGAATTATTATTATTATTATTATTATTATTATTATTATTATTATTAAAATGAAAGACACCAGAGTTTGCAGGATGGAGGCTATGCAAGGCAGACAGACAGGCCAAGCGGTCGTGATGATGAAGCGGCGGCTTCCCCTGTTTGAGATCACTAATGAGAAATGCGTGGGTGAGAGTCTACAGCAGCGCATGGAGACAGGAGAGAGTGCGCAGGCTCTCTTCGCATGGCTCTGAACATGGGATTGGGGAGGGGGAATCCTTGGCAAAAGACCACCGGCCCAGCCTCACCCCTATGACCCAAAGGCAAGAGGGAACCCACCACCAGCGTCCCCTCAAATCTTTCATTGTGCCCCCTTTTCCCCTCCCTGCATTTACAGATTGCATCATTAGCTCATCCAGGCATCCTTGACATGCATTTCACAGGCAAAAAAAGCTTGCAAAACATTTTTTTTAAAATACAGAATCTAGTTACAGATACAGATAGACAGACAGACCAGAAAGACGGAGGCAAGAGGGGCCTGTGTTTGGTATCAGATCCCCTTTGCTAGTTGTTGTTTTTGTTTAAGCCAAAAGTACAAAAGGAGGATTAACATCAAACAAATGAACAGATGGAAATCTAGCTACGTCCCTGATTTCTCCCATGTTCTGAATAATGTGGAAGGGAGTCTGGAGAGTCAATTATGAAGAGGGTTTGGGAGTCCGTTTAATATTTGACTAAGATCCTGCAGCACAAGGCAAAATGTCTCTCGTTAACTACATTTCCATTGCTGTGTCTCACGGAATCGTAGAGTTGGAAGGGATCACTGAGGCCATATAGTCCAGCCCTCTTCTGCCATGCAGGAAAATACATTGGAAGGGACCATTGAGGCCATACAGTCCAGCCCTCTTCTGCCATGCAGGAAAATACAATCAAAGTACTCCCAATAGATGGCCATCAAGCTTCTGTTTCAAACACCTCCAAAGAAGGAGACACCGCCACTCTCCCCTTGTTGAACAGTTCTTCCTAAAGCTTAGATAGAATTGCTTTTCTTGTCATTTGAATTCTCTTGTACATGTTCCCAGTCTCCGGAGCAACTCCATCTTCTACATGCCAAACCCTTCAGATGGTTTGAGCATTGGACTACAATTCTGGAGACCAGGGTTTAAATCCTCACTTGGCCATGGAAACCCACTGGGTGACCTTGGACAAGTCACACACTCTCAGCCTCAGGGGAAGGCAATGGCAAACCTCTCCTGAACAAATCTTGCCAAGAAAACCCTGTGATAGGTTTGCTTTAGGGTTGCCATAAGTCAGAAAGAACTTGAAGGCACACAACAACAACAATCATGTCACCTCTGAGTCTTCTCTTCTCCAATCTAGCTACATCCAGCTCCCTAAACTGTTTGCTTTCCTCTGTAGGTTTTCAACATCTTTCATGCCTGGGCACAGTATTTCAGGTAGAGCAGAGGAGACCCATTGAATAAATAGGATTTACTTATGTATTGACTCATCCTTCATTAATGCAAAGATTAAATGGATGTACTCTAATTAGGAATAACCAACAGGATGTCATCCAATGGCTGCTATCCAACATCCCATTAGTGTACCATCAATATCTGCTTGCAGAAATACACTACTCCAGCATTATGTAACCCTCATGTGGATCAGCAACACCATTTGACGGACGTCAGTGACTGGGTGCCATAGTGTGATGTGCAGCCACAATGTGCAACTGGCGTGCAAAACAAATCGTGCCAAGAAAACCCTGTGATAGGTTTGCTTTAGGGTTGCCATACGTCAGAAACAACTTGAAGGCACATATAACTTCAGTTGTGAAATGCACAACTTCAGTTGTGAAATTGCAATGTGAAACCACAATGCGCAGCATTGCTATATGCACAATTCCATCTCTGCCATGGTCAACACAATAGGTTTGTCGTGCAATGCAAAATAAGCCACCCCGCGTGTACAGTGCAACTTATGCATCCTTACATCACTCAGGATGCCAGACAATATTTGACAATTCCAGAACGGCAGAATTGTGCTCCGTTTGAACCCTGGCCTTCTTTCCTCCTCAGCTTTTGTGTCTTCGAAAACAGGTTTGGCACTACAGTCCTTGCCAAGAAAATCCTTCCAGACAAGCAGGGAGGGGAGGCCTACGATGATGGATGAGCTGACAGATTGGAAATTATCCCCTCCACTTCCGTGCATAACGGCTTCCTAAGTGATCGGCAATTATTGGAGAATTAGAGGGAATTTAATTCACTTTGCAGGGCCACCCTCACTTTTTTTAATAAAAAAAAAGTGGGGGAGGAAGATCATACATTCTCATGAAACATCAGTCTTGCTGCTTCTGTCTTACATGCTTGGTCAACAGCATCACAATAATTACTATAATTCACAAGGGTTGCTGACTCAACAGCACAGCGTCGCTCATTGAAGAAGCAAAAGCCCTCAACCTACCCATTAATACAGCTTATATTTCTAAGTAACTGGAGTTGCCGGCATCAGGAGTGTGGAAATGTTATGTTTTGGACTACAATTCCCTTGGCAGCAAGCACATTCTGGGAGCTGTCATCCAAAATAACTGATCACACTGAAAGAGATTTGCATGAAACTTCAGGCTGACTAAGAAAGATTGAGCACCAGGTTCCCAATGACCATGGATAAAATGGTGGCCAGTTTCAGGCAGGGATGCAGTGAATCGATTCCAGGTTTCTCTGTTGACCTTGAAGGAGCAATATGTACCGATCCTATTGTGGAAAGAGAATACTGAAATTGCTGAAGTCTGAATGGAACTATCCAAGTTTTTAGGTCTGTTTTCAGCTATGCACCAAATAGGTTCAGCACCTTGGACAGCTCTTGTGGAACCAGGAATAAAGCCTGGAGTATAATAATAAAACCACAGATGTGTGGTGTAATGGTTTGAGTGTTGAACTACAACACTGGAGACCAGAGTTTGATTCCCAGCTTGACCATGAAACCCACTGGGCGAACTTGGGCAAATCACTATAATGTACAATCAAATAATCCTAGAGATGGAAGGGACCCCAAGGATCATCCAACCCAACCTCTTTCTGCCATGCAGACAAAAGATGGACACCAAGACTCTGTTTAAAAACCTCTAAATATTTGTATTTTCTATTTCTGCAGGGGGGAAAAAAACCACAGATGAATTTCTGCTCAGAAAATGTTTTTCTTCATATGAAAAAAACAAAACCCCTATGCATCTTCACTCAGGCAAACTGTGCTGAAAATGGATACTAATCAGAAACTT